GGGTGTGTCCCAAAAAGAACCCCGCAAAAGGACACGTTCTCTGTGTCCTTTCAGGGACCCTGCCATGACCAAGCATGTACTGGCCTCCGCCTCGCTAGCGCCCATGAGCCCGCAGACCTGTCGACCAAAAGGTCAAAGGGTTCACTTGAAAGGCGGGTTGGAGAGCTGGGGAGGTTGGAAGGTTGGAGGGTTGGGGGGAGGTTGGGGAGGTAGGAGTGTTGGGGGCGTTGGGGAGATTTGGAGGGGGGGGTGGGGGTTTGTTGACTTGGGGTGAGTTTCCAATTGAGTGATGGAGTATTCCTGACTAGAAAGCCCGGCTGGCTTGCCTCCTTAAGCAAAAAGCTCCTGAAAAGGAAGCTGACTGAAGGAGGAAACAGTGGCAACCCTCGCACAAACTTGCACGATCGCCACATACACGCACACAAACTTCAAACCTAGATGCAAAGCAGGCACGCATCAGAGCTGACACGAACATATACACAAGTGTTCCTAGAATAGGGGGCGCGTCGGCTTACACTTGGTACTCTAAACACCAGCCAAGTTTCCCAGTGTTTAGACACCCCCTTCCAAGAACATGAGGGGTATGGGTGCTCCCAACAAAAGGACTTTTTGGAAGTGCCACAGGGCTCCAGACACAGCTGCCCACCAAAAGGAGACTCGCCTTTCGATTTGCCAAAAAATGGGTGACGTGTCGAAACCACCCAAGAAAAAATGCAAGTGTCTCAAAACCGTGGAAAAGGCCCCTTCTTGGATGGTATTCAAAGGAGAACTAAAAGTTAAAAGGAACCGATTGCCATTTTAGGGTGTCAAGGGCCAATAGGGGTCCTCCAAAATTTCAAGGGCGCTTTAGGGCCTTTTGCGGAGGGGAGCGATTCCTATTTGAGTGTGTCTTCTTTTAGGAGACGCCCCGCCCCAAAAAAGCGGGGTTTGCCTTTTGTTTTCCATTGAAAGCCGCAAAGAAGGGGGTACCACTCTGAGAACCGGGAGCGGGCCCCGCAGAGAGAAACAAATCCGCAAGCCGCGGCCTGCAGCCTCACCGGGCGCGTGGAGTAGTTGGAGTTGGCGGCAACTTTCACTTGCAGCACCCGATCTGCGGAGCGAGTTAAGGGGTGGGGAAGGGGGGGGGGAGCGGGGGTGTGGGGTCGGGGGGGGGGGGGGGTGGGGTTCTCAGAAAGGTAGACACTGTTGGGATTTGGGATGACTTTAAAGGGAGACCAAAAGGAAACAAACCAGTTGTGGGTCCTTTGAGAAACACCCACTGGGTATTCTTCTTCATAATTCACCACCCGAACATCAAGGTCCCTTATGAAAGATGCCTTCATCATGGCTAACGTTGCAAACCCCAGTATGACGTCGTCATAACAAACACACAGACTCATCACCATGCCCCTCATTCACAGTTTGGATTGGCTTGGAGGTCGTTCATGAAACAATAAAGGGCCCTGGCTCGAATCAAACCCGCCTCGGAGCTGCGTGCCGTGCAGCGACTGGATCGCCATCTGGCAAAAACCCAGTGGGGGCTGGGGAAGTGGACCTTCCTCAGTGTTTGCTTTGCGTTTTCCTTAAATGGGGTTGGAAAGAACATGGAGAACCTGGCTTCTATGTTCTTCCGACCACCTGTTTACCCTGGCGGTCGATTCGGTCGGATGGGAGCAACCTTGTTATACCAGAGAAGGAAATGATAAAACCTACATGAGTATGAGTGTGTGTACTTTTGAGGTGGTGTGGTTAAAAGGGAAATCAAAAGGAAACCACCATGTAGGGGGCCCTCCGACTCATACCCAGATGGATTGTCATGTCCAAGGAGTTTAGGTTCTCCTATCAAGGAGTTTGCTGTGTACAACTCAGTGTCCCTTCCCTTTGTTTCACGGTTCTCTTCGGACCGGTTCCCTTGACTTTCTTCCTAATGCTTCTGCAAATCCTGTGCCATCCCTCTGAGTCACAATCAAATCCGTGAAAGAAATCTTCCTGGGCAGCCGCACCTATTTCTGGCTGGGACTGCCCCGTACTAACTTTCATCTACCCGGGTTTTGGTTGTGGCTCCACTAAGTATCATGTATAGTTGGCTGTTGGGTGTGTGTGTGTGTGTGTGCTTGTGTGTGTGTGTGTCTCTGGGTGCTTCCTTTGTGTGTTTGCTTTGCTTGCATTGTTGTTTGTTGCGTGCTGGGATCGTTTGTCGTGTTTGTTTTTGCTTGATTTCTGAGCCGCGTCTTTGTTCCTGTGTCTGTTGCTTTGTCTTTCCTCTTACAACAATCCACCAGATGGCACGAAACATGCAGACAAATCACACTGTACAAGGACAATATTTTAACGACAAGAAAATCAATCAAAAACCGCCATCAGCAGGTGGATCCTATTTCAGCAATGCAAAAGGGAAATGTATAAGGACCCCATGAGCGTGCATGTGTGTTTCCAGTTTTTTTAGGAGTCCGAGCATGCTTTTCGAAGTTGCCATCTAAACCAGACCACAAAATGGAAACTTCGCTCCTCCCGGTGCTTCGCTTCAAACTTCAAACCCACTCCAAAAAAAGGGGGCACTCGACACAAGTTGATGGGATCCAGGTTTCGCGGAACCCTTCTTGGGGTCCGTTTTTTTCCCCCGCCGGTCAACAAAAATCTGATGGGGGATCCATCCCATCCAAGTTTCACGGAGCCCCCCGGTCAGGGGTCCTTGTTGGGGGTTTTGCTCCTTCCAACCTCATGGGAGTTGGCCTTCAACCCCCACTCCACAAGTTTCACGGAGCACCCCTCATTAGGGGTCGTTGTTTGTCCCTTTTTGGGAGCTTCCAACCCCTTTGTCAGGGTCGTTTTTCGCCCCCCCTTTTTGGGGGTTTTGCTCCTTCCCACTCCACAGGTTTCACGGAACCCCCCCTTTGGGGGGCGCTTCCAAGAAACCGAGAAGAAAAAAAGGAAAAAAAACTCCGGCGGGGAGTGGACGGCACATCTTTTTCCCCGCCTGGGAGGACTCCTTCATCTCGAACTCCACGAAGCCGTAGCCGCTGCAGAGCTTCTGGCTCCGGATGGGCCCGAAGTGCTCGAAGAGCCGCCTGCGCACTACAAAAGTGGTAGCCCGGATGGAAAGCAACTAGCAACTAGGCATCCTAGAGGGAAACGCACGGGGTGGAGGTACAGCGGTGTCAAAACCGAGTTTATTATGAGTCCGACGTGCTTGAAGGCTACTCTCACCTGCCCATGGGCACGGATAAGAGAAGCCCGCGTCCAGCCCAGCGAGCCCAGCGTGAGGCGGTATTGCGCTGCGGGGAAGGCTGGGAACTTCGGAAGGTCTGGGTTTTTCCAACTCAGGTCAAGGGACAGCCACTGTTCAAAGTGTTTCATTGCGACATTCTCTTCTCTACGGGGTATAGAGGTATGGAGGGTAAATATCAGGTATATAGTGCCTTTACGTTTACGAGCTTATATTGGCATTTCCATGTGCGCAGGTAGGTACCCCCCCCCCATACAGGTAAGGGGTCTCTTTATCGAGACGGTTAAAAGGAAGCCAAACAAAAACACCCATGTTTCTTTTGGGGTCGCCCAGATGGGCTCCTTTGGGTCCGGGGCGGCCCTGAGGTAAGGTTCCCGAGGGTTCCACAATACGAGGTTCTGCGAGGGCTGCGGGGTGGTGCGAGCACTAGAGCACCGCCTGCTGGGGATATCACCTGAGCTTATTGTTGTTGTTGGGGGGGCAAAAGGTTCCCCTAGTTTGAGAGGTACCTGCAAAAGTGCTCAAGCCTGTGGTTGGACCAAGAAACGCATCCTTCTTATTGCATCTGTCTTGTTGCATCTGTAGAAAGAATCGTAAATGAATCAAATCTAATACTAGATACAAGGAGGGTAATTGCTCTCTATATATATATATATACCTACACTATTCCAACGTATGATTTAACACCATATTGTCTTTCAAAATTTTCACACAAGATCGCCCCAAAGCCCCAATTTGCTTTACAAGACAAGCTTAGGACAAACCTCAACCTTCCGAATTGGGGGCTTAAATTGAAGAAGCGATCGAGCACTTGTTTTCGTGAATGATAGTTATATACCCTAGCCTATAACCAATCCAGGGCAGGTGTAAATAGCAAGTTGAGTTGGGAAGCCTCGTTTTGCTTGCTTCTGCCTCTTTTTCTGGGGGGATGCTGAAGTCCAGAAAGGAGGCTGCAAGGGGAGATTCAACAAATCTAGTGCTCCTGCCCTCGCCAGTTCTGCTGGGTTTGTCCGAAAATCCACAGAAAACAGCCCCAACAAGCCAAAACACTGAGGAAAAAAACGCAAGTTTTACCGACCCCCCCCTTTCAAATAAATTACTAATAGCGCACCAATAGCAGCCTATTCGTCAGGTACTAGGGGTTCCAAATAGCTTGCTAATCGCTTAGCAACTAGCTTCCTAGACTGGACCTTACGAGCAATTCAGCCAGCTCGGCATTTTGCCACTCAGTTTGAACAGCTGATTGAGCCACTCAGACTGTGCCCGGTGAGGACTTGTGCCGTGCATATTGTAATATGACCCAAAATCCAGTAGCATCGCGGCATTGCAGCAACCTGCCGCCTGTAACAGTTCGAGCCGTATTTCATGGATTGAAGCAGCATGACAACCCCGCACAATCCTGGAGGACAATATGGCGGCTATCTGTGCGCTAAAGCCGGGAAGCTATTAGCAGCTATTCGTAAGCCATTAGTAAGCTAGTAGGACACAGCCCTGCAGAGACCTCTTAGATAAAATGGGGGGAGGTTGAAGGTCGGAGGGGGTTTGTCATCTACGGCATAGAGGTCGGCGCCGAAGCCAAACTGCACAGCTCCGGCGAAGGGCGCGCAGTGAAGTCCAGCCGCGCTGCCATCGGTTTGGGGAGCCTGGTTCTGCTTCAGCACCCGCTCGCCCTGACCCTTTTCCATCGGATTGACATGTCTGACTCGCCCTCTGTCAGCGGATCATGAAAAAAGATCGGTGCCCTGCGCAAAACACGCAAGTGACAAATGCCACTTGGCGGTCTATCGCGCGAATAGCGCGCTCCCGCGCAAAAGGGGAAACACGTTGAACTGTTGAGTTGGAAACCCTGTAGCTTTGGGGCTGAGAACCCCGGTATTTGGGTATGTGTTAACATAGGGGACCTCCTCCCCAAAATGGTGGTTTTCCTTTTGGCGTCCCTTTCAAATCACTCCAAAAAAGGTATTCAAGAAAGCAACACACCAACCTGCCCAGAAGGTTTTCTTGTCTGACAGCACAAAAGCCGAACAGCCGACACGCGCAAATCGCCCGATTCGCCGAACCTGAGCTCGTCGTCGCGGAAGTTGGCAGGGATCTCGGAGGAGCAACGAAAATGGACGACCGAAATGTATCACAAATAATATATAAATTAAACCAAATGATTGTAAACTGCGATTATGCGAAACCATGATTTTACCAATATCAAAGCCACCCCCGAAGTGTTAGGTCAAAAGCGAAACATCCCCCAGTGTCTGCCCTTGCTTTAATTGTCTTAAAAATAAAAATAAAAATAAAATGACGGTTGTCAAGGGAAACCCAAAAGTTGTGTTTGTTTGCTGTCTACAGGAAACACCCTTTAGATGCTTAGGGGTGCTTTTGACACGACTGCATACAGCACTTGCCCTCCACGTACATCTCTGTTCAAGGCGGATGCCCCTTATAAAATGGCGGCTCCAGAGTGCTGAACCCCACCCCCAGAACCTCTCAGCCCCCTCCTCTCAAAACATAATTTGTGGATACAGGTCAGGGGTTCTCAACAGAAAACCATCTAGCGAGGGAGATGATGCTTGCTTTTTCTTTAGCCTTGTCCAAAACGTGCTTGTTTGCATTCGGCTCCTCGAAACAGACAAACATAGAAGTGAGGAAGCCCCTAGTTGGTGGCTTGGAGGAGCAAACAAAATGACAGGTGTTCGACCTCCAAGTGGCAGTTGTCTGGGGAAACCGCAAAAAAATGAGCCTTTTTGAGCCATTTAGGAGCCGGATCCTGACATCCAAAAACGGACCTACGTGCCTCCTCCATTGAACCTACGTGCCCCGCGCATGGCTCCTCCTCTGGAATGACCCCCACCAAGAGAAACCCGCTTCGCATCGGCGACCAAAAGCCAAACCCAAAAGGCGATGCAGTAAATCAGAGGCAGCCAACCTCCCCTGTCAATAAAACATCAGCGCCAAACCAATGCACTTCCATTTTTTGACTAGGCGCTCCCCCCACATAGATGTGGCGAACATCCACCGCCATGTCCGAGGCGAATCGAGGCGCGTCTCTGTATGCAATCTTTGCGGTGGGGCCCTGGTTTTCTTCCCTGAAAACTTTGGGGTCTCTGACCAAAGCAGCAATCTGTTTGGTGGTTCGGAGCAGTTTTCTGGAAGGGTTGCGAAGGGTCTGGGGCTTTTGGGAATCGACCTGGGCTTAGTGTTGGACCCGCAAAAAGAAGGCAAGAAAAGCTCAACAAAAGCTTGTTTCGGCATTGGAAAGAAAAGGGTCCGCATGTTCGAGCGCAGACCTTGTCAACAACCCCACAATCAATTGTCGTTCAACTTAATGTGGTACTTTGATCTGAAAAGCTGCCAAACCATGATTGGGTCTTTCCAGAATCTTGCATGTGCCCTTGGGAAAACGTCTTTTTGCAGTGGCTGGGTGTACAGTATATCCCGTCAAAAGCTGGTTTTCCGGAAAAAAACCGAAGGCGAGCACAAAGACCCTCGCAAAGGTGGGTTTGTTTCTGCCGGCTCTTTCGCGCTTTAGCCATCTACGGCTTGAAGCACGGGTGCAGTTGGTTGCTAAGAGTTAGAAAGCTTAGTGCTTAACCCGTTCCAGTTGTTGGTGCTGTTGTTCCAGTTGGTTGCTTGCAAACTTACTTACAACTGGAACGGGTTTCTATACCAATCGCCTCGAGTCCACGTGCTTTATTTCTTTGGCACGGAGCCCCAAGGTTGGCTCCGGAATCGAAACACGAAGGAAGCTGCGGCACAGACAGTGACAGCAAGAGAGCGGGCTCCCGCAGGTAAAATCTACAGGGGAAGGTCCCTAGATACACCTCAGCCTTTTGCTCCCAGCAAGAAAGGCATGCTTAGACGATCCATATCTAACCTGAAAATGCGCGTAGTGGGGGCCCTTTTCACGAGGCTCTGGCATCAATGGGGCAGACTACACTACCCTGGCACCCTCTGAAATGTTCTGACTCAGAGCCACCACAAGGGGAGCCATCGCAGCAGTGACTGGTGACTATTAAAGGCAAAGTTCGGAGCATTTCGGGCGGCTCTGCTTCAGTATTGGACGACTGGCATGGAACCTGACTGATGCACCCTGGAAGACAATAATCCTCCAAAATTCGAGTTGGTGGGAACGTCTCACCAAGTCCTCCCTTGCTGCTCCGAAAAATCCAACCCATTTGGAAAACCTTCCCACCAGTCCCTACTTTGGTCTGGTCCAATTGTGCAACATATGAACCACAATCAAAATTACTTGATCCGTCTCGGGTTTTTTGGGTTCCCCCCCATGTCCCTCCCAAATTGGTAGACGGGGGAAAGACTTGACCGAACCTATCCCTTCAATCGAATTGGGATCGCCAACTCGCGCCGCATCTTAAAGCCATCTCCGAACTCATGCAAAACCCATGGGGCATACCGAAGCCATCCGTGATCACATGCTGACAGATCCCAGGATCTTTGACTTGGAGGCGCTTGCCGCTAGAAAGTAACCCTTCGATCCAGCTTCCCTCTGGCTTTAGGGCGGTTCCCTTGGTCCAGTATACCCACTCGTACTCACTCCTAAATTGTGTGATGTCAGCCCCCGACTTCAAAAGAGATGTATGGTGCTTGCTATGGAAAGCCAAAGTTTTTCCAAGCGTGACCAGGCCAAAAAACAACAAGCGGCTTGCCCAAGCCCCTCCGGAAGCGCCCTCCGTTTCCATTGGCAATCTTGCGCCGCTCGCCATCTTTGGGCGCGCAAAGTGACACAAAGGCGGGCCAGGCTTGTCTGCTTCAGACTACTTGATTTGGAGAAAAAGCTGTGGACATGGCGGTTTGTTACCACAGTTTGATAGAGGGAACTGTGGTTGGGAGACGAACGGAAACGAAGACCAATAAGTTTAGTGCTGAAATTTGGTTGATGGGATTCGATGTCAACTCCTGACTAAAACAGGAGGAGTGTACCATGAAAAAACAAGTTGTTCAAAATATGCCAGCCATCCTGACTGGAACGAGAAAGAACGCCGGGCGTGTGGCAACCTGCATTTTCGCCATTGTACACACCAAATATGTTGTTCGGATTCTGAAAGGTGGCCCGAGCCACAGGCGCTCCTCGCCAACAGAAGCCTGAAGCTTTTTGTTCACCACTAACTCTGGTCTCCCCAACGAGCATTCAGTCCCGGGAATCGGCAAGTGCGATTGATCTCAAAGGAGGTCCCAACCAGCACCCAATTATTTATGGTTTGCTTCACGTGGAGTCACTAAAATGTAAAAATGTATCCTAAGTCTACCCCTGCCAACTGCTGCTGCCCATGTCCAAGAAGAAGTCCAAGAGCTCGGAAACTGCCGCTTCGATGCCCCTTCGCCGCTTTCAGACACAGTCGCCGATCTTCGGCTTCGCAGGCGGGCAGGTCTGGCCGGAATCGCTCGGAATCGATGGAACGTTTGGCAGCTCTCGGAATCGTGCTCGGTGCTACCCTCTCCACAGACATGGCAGAGGGTCCCTTAAAGAGGAAATTCATCTTCCGGTAGTTAAAAAACAGGAAAAATAGGTGAGCCGAGCCTCGCCATGCTCCCAACTTTGCAATAGTTTGCATCCACCGTATACTCCAAAATGGTATCCACTCAACACCCTTTTCCGCCAGCGATATCCCAAACTCCAGGGATGGTAGTCCCCGCCGCCCCACTCGTGCGTTTGCCTGCGCTTCCCCACAAACCCTTGTCATTCAGAGATGGGACACTTTAGTACTAACAATCGCCGCTGCAGAGGAAAACCAGCCGCTGGCAATCCGGGTAGGGATTTTGAATGTGCCTTCCTCGGAATTAAAGGCCTCTGCCACGAATTATGGCACTTCAGACTAAGCCCCAGTAGGCCAATTCCCAGTGGGTTTGTCAATGGACCAATGCAATCTAGTTGCACAAAAGTGGTACAACTCCCAAAGTGAAAATAGAACGAACCTCTGGGACCTGCATCACCGAGCTCATTTTGCCCCAAAATCAGTGAGTTCCTGAAAATGTGCGATACAAAAACAAAACAGAAACGCGATGCATCCGACTCCGCATCAAAAACAAGGGGATCCTCCAAATCAGCTCATAAAGTGATTTTTGGACTGGGTGCGTCTTTTGGGCGGGGCCCTTATTGGTTGGCTTCAAAGGGAAACCTTTCAGGGGTTCCCATTTTTCAAGACACATAAAAATGACGAGACAGAATTCAAGCAGCACCATCCAAACCAAACCCAAAACCACCACATCAAAATGATTTTGCGAGCAAAAAGACAAGTCCACTCCCAAAAGCCCATCCTTTGAGCGTTTCCGTGAAACATATGGCACCCCATGAAACCCGACACCCAAAAGAAGCCACGCGTCGATCGACTCCGCGCCTCAGGGAGGTATGATGAGGTCCGCTTGCAGCAGCCGCATTGCCTCCTCTAGGATGCACCTGGTGTTCTCCTCCTGCGATCGCCAGGTTTGGCCCATGTGAGGAAGGCCAAGGTTTGTCTTTTTCGGGGCACCTGGACCCTCAAGCTACCCTTAACATGGGAAACCAGGCCAAGGTGTGTCTTTATTGTGGCACCTGGACCCTCAAGCTACCCTTAAACATAAACCAGGCCAAGGTTTGTCTTTTTTAGGACACCTGAACCGCCCAACACAAATTTGGGGCAGATTGTTTCTATGGGTTGGAGAGCCCAGGTACTCTTTTTGGGGGTGAAACGGACACCAAACGGAGACTATCCACTTAGGGGGCTCACCTACGACGAGCTCAACTTTGGCTTTGGTGGATATGGTTGGGTGTCATGCCCACCCTTTTCGAGGCTGTCCATTTTGGCTTTGAAGCCAAAAAAAATCAAGAAGCAATGAGACAGGTTGGGTTAAAGACAAACCTAAGCCTTCCCATCCCTGGCGTGTTCGCAAAGAATTTGGTTCATTGCAGCCCCACTCGCTAAAGATGACAAGGACCCCAAAACCAACAGCTACAGACAAACCAAGAAGAGCGTCCTTCTTTCCAACGTGTCCCCACAAAAAGTCTGGCTTTGGACCTGATTCAAGTGGGGCATCCGCCATTTTCAGGTCTACCCCGGTTTCATCAGTCTACATATGACAGTCCCGCCCCTGAACAAAGAAAGGATAGAACCCAAAAGGGGGTTCCCGCAAAAACACCATGCCTCCAAGCATGTGCGTTTTTTCCGGGTTCATCTGTTCATCTTGAGGAGGTTTCGCCTCGAAGTCCGTTATGGTTACAACGAAGGCCAGCTTCAGAGGTACACAGAGAAGCCATGTGCCGGGGCAGACTCGGAGGGCGGTGGTGGTGGTCACCACCCCTACCACCCTTGGCTGACCTCCGCCTCCTCCTGCTCCTGAGCCTCCCCCTCCACCGGCAAACAGGGCACGAAGTTCGTCACGTCGGAATGCCAGGACCTTCAAACTGGTCCACAAAATCCACCACGGTCTTGCCATTCATGTGCATTACCTTGTAGTCAATGAAGGCATCGCGGCCACCGGCGCTTCCAATTGTTGCCGTGGCCGGGGTCTGGTGAAAAACTTTGAAAAATGAGTCTGCACTAAGCTTCCCTCCAATTCGTGGTAAGTCTTGTGGAGAACCAGGGGTTCATATCTCCAAATCGATCCAAACCAACCTTTTTCAGATTTCCTGATACAATGCACCAAACAAAAATGAGGCGGCTGTCAGGAACCTTCACCATAAGCTGCAGCTTGACAGACCCATCCAAAGTGCAGGTCTTCTTTTGTGATGCCTGGCTTTTGGCTTTGACACATCCAAAGGTTTGGCCTTTGGCGGATGATCTTGAAGAAAAATGATGATAAGCCATATGGCTGTGGGTCAAAAATAGGTACCCCAAATGGAACCCTGGCAAGTGGAAACATGGACCAAACCCGTGGTCCCTGGTGGTTTAATTTTGACCCATACCCATATCGCATGTTGCTTGCTTCCTGAAAAAGTACGGATATGACTCCAACATATCCCAAGAAGTTGCCATCCGTTCCAGATTCTTGAACGTCCTACATGACTCCAAATGGCCTGGAGCCAAAACCCCCAAAGCTCAAAGGTCAACTCGGAAGCTCTTCAAAAGCTCTTTGCGGTCAATGCGAGCTGTTCAACATGGGATGACACATCCAAGACAAAAACTCCCGGGACGATGACTGCAAAGACCAAGAACCGATTCCTTAAAGTCTCAGAATATTCTGAATCTCAGATGACCAAAACAAGTGCGGATGGCCCTGAAATTTCAGGGACCCGATTGGCGGGTTGGGTTGGTGGTGGGGATTTGAGCACCTGGTTGTGGTAAATGGGAACCACCTAAGCTCCTTACCAATGAAAAGCCACCAAATCGAGGGGATCTGACTTGAACTCGGGCAATCCGCTTTGCTCAAATACCTCGCCAGCAGGGCTTCCAAGTACTACAGTACCGCCCAGGTAAGAAAAATGGAAGAACACAGACCTTATGTAGTGGTTCCGTGATGATGTGTGTACGTGTCTATTTTTACAAATGTATTTGTATTTGTATTTGTATGTTATGTGTATACTTATATAGATACACAACAACCACTGTGCACAACCATGTCCCAATTTCTTTGTCCTTTTCAAAAAACTGCAAGTGCGATTTGCCATTGGAGTCCATCTTTGTTCAACCAAACCAGAAAAAGATACCTGTGCTCAGAAACGGTTGGCTTCCTTTTTGGTTCTGTGAAACCACAAAAAGGATACCGGGGCATTCATATTCACCAACCCTAAGTAAACCCAAAGTGAGGGACCTCACGGGTGGCTCGCGTACTCGCGTAGAACTCCCCAAGTAAAGTGCTGAACTCAAATATGCCCAGACCCCATGGCCGATAGGTTTCTGTTGAAAGCGCAACCAACAAAAAGGCCCGTTGGTTGAAAAACCCCAGGTAGGACAAACCTACGCTATACTTTACCAAGCAGGCGAAGATCGAGCCAAACTGACCCGGTTCAACCCATCTACTTCCACCAACCCATCAAACAACGACTTGGACATGGTAAGATTGCGGAACCCAGAACCTCAGGGGTATCATGGTCGGGCCTGGGCTGAACCGATTGTTCAAAGCAGGATTCCTAAGAGACAGCTGGCCTTAGGGCTTCTCCAACTGTGAAGATTTGCAAAACAAAAGCCCTTTTTGGGAAAATGAAAGAAGGAAACCAGAAAAAGACGCTAAAGACTAGGATGCGCCTGCGCCTATTTTTGAGCAAGCAAGAAAAACAACATGAACTTTAATTGGGCGCCACCTCAAAAGTGGCGAACATAACTCCCCACCACATCCACCATTTCGCGTCTTTCGTACCCATTAAAACCCACCCAAATATCTTGAAAAAGCAATGAGGAAAACAAAAAAAAAGAGAAAAAAAAAACTGAATCTGACCGCATGTTTGGCGTAAATTCCAGAGGCCCCAGACCAGTGGACTTTCGTGCGGGACAATGCGCCGGCCCTGGAGCCATGTCCGCGGGGCGCGCCTGCTTCCGCAGGGCCTCTCGCGCCGCGTCCCGCTTTGAAAGCGCCTCCTGGTCGTGCGGAAACCCGCAAGCCGCGTCTCAGCTTGGCCTGCAATAAGGCAAGGAAACCAAACATACTCAACCGCACAACTAGACGAATTTGCTGTAAAAATGAGTCCTTGCGTCAACTAGACCAATCATACTCAACCGCAAGACTGTAATAATTTGCTGTAAAAATAGGTCCTTACGTCAAGTAGACCAATCATACTCAACCGCAAGACTATAATAATTTGCTGTAAACATAGGTCCTTACGTCAAGTAGACCAATCATACTCAACCGCAAGACTAAAAATAGGTCCTTACGTCTAGTAGACCAATCATACTCAACCACAAAACTGTGGGTAAATGTCCGCTAAAAAGAGTCCTTGCCTCGCCGCGTGCCCTAAAATTGCTCAAGTGGACTAATCATACACGACCACAAAGCCATGGACAAACTACAGCAAGTTTAGAGGACACAACCCTGTTGCAGATTCAGGAGTTCTTATATGTTCGCTTTTTGAGTGGTTTCACCATCACCATTTTGGCCCAACAAGCCACCAAGCCAAGCCCGAGAAAGCTGAAATTGCAGGCACATTGTAGCGATGTCACGCTCAGGGGGCTTTGCCGAATTTTGGTTTGGTTATTGTAATTTGCCCAGATTAGGAGACAGTGCCAGCCTTGATACGGCAGGAAGCCTTTTCGCATTTGACAACGCGTCCCTTTCGGGGTGACTTCAACATCACCGTTTTGGACATCTTTTACCTGGAGTTGCTTCTAATGCATCGCAAGTGCTCTTACCTCTCACACCAAGCAGATTGTACAAAAATACATCCCCCCTAGCACTCACTGCTTGTGGGCAGATCATGGCGGCAAACCTTCCCGCGGCACCTCAAAGATTGATCGCCTGCTTCGGGAAAGTTGCACAAGCACAAGCAATACCCAGTTGCCCAGTGGCGCCCTTTTTTCCTTTGTCTTGGGAAGGGTTTCGACAATGCCTTTAAACTCAACCAACCAGAAAATTGGGTGCATCCTTCTTTTCCTATGGAAATCCACTGGGCATCGGAGAATAGCCATAGAGCAGAGGAACAAGAGTTTGGCGTCCACTGGGTAGCTTTTCACCAAATAGCAAACAAACCTGCTGAACTCCTTGTGCAGGACTCTCTACATTGGAAACATTGCAGCGGCTCAGGTTAAAGGGTATTGTAAGCTTCTTTCCCGGGTGCTTTTAGGAGTGCATACCATGCGTATCTGCAGGGGAGTAAAGTAATGTTTTTGATGTTTTGATTTTCTAAAATAGACAACCCCATAAAAGTCAACGGTGTCATGAAACCCTTCATTCGAATTTTGACTGAGAACCGGTTGGATGACCCCCTCTGGTTTCTATATCTGGCGGCAATTCTTGACATGGGACATAATGGGACCAGGATCCCTTCTAATTTCTATATCTCGCGGCAGTTCTTGAAATAGGACCACTTGGTCTGAAGCACTTGGATCCCGTGATTTGTTTGGGAGAACTCGAACTGAAAAACCCCACGGAACCGCCGAAGAACACCTCAGTGGCCGATCCATCGCCTGCTCCCTGGCGGCGAACTCCTGAGCCGCCTGCGCGAAGTCTACGATGAGCCCCCGATCAATCGAATCTGCGCGAGGCGCGTTTTCTGGCTCAAGGATTTGCGAAACGCCAGTATAAACGTGAGGTAAATAGATTGATAGAGATTTTACAAAAAAGTTCTGGCTCATGTGTTCCTTTGATTTGTGTTTTACCTCAACCTGAAAAAGATGGCTACCGGCAAAACCTGAACAAGTCAGAGCACACAAATAAATGCAAAGGGTTAGCCTTCCCAACATGGCCCCAACCGGGGGCTTCGAGGAGAATGACTTGCAATCCCCAGGAACCGATTGATTCCCGGCGCGGAGCTTCCGGAAGGCCGCAAGAGAGTGGCCGAAGCTCAAGAATCCGTCCCCTTAGATGGTCTGAGGCATAGCTACATGCAATCCTGGTTCTTAGGGGACTCAAAAGAGCCATGGCAAGTAGTTGGAACGCGGCTCGTAGATGGCCGTGTAACGAACACCTATTTTTATCGATTTTTGTTCTTGCAGCGGACGTCGGCATGACTTGGAGAGGGGGGGGGAGGTCGTTTTTTTTTGGGGGGGGCAAGTGATAGCGGCGGTGTCGACAGTGTCACGGCATGCCTGTTTCTTTCTAGCTGCGCAGATCAAGCGGCAGGTTCTCGAACCCCTCCACGTCAATGCCATTCCTCGGGGTTAAGCTGTTGTCACATCCGAGATTACCAGGACACCATCCAGGCCACGGGTGTGGGAAGAACTCAGGCCAGCCATTTCATTGCTTGCTTGCGGCAGACGGAGGCGGAGGCTGGCAAAGCATGGCGGCAGAAGGTGGTGCTTTCCAAGAACGTGGAGGTTGACGGCAGCAGCCTAGGAAAGTTCTTTAGTGCAAACGCTTTGCCGCGCAGATCAAGGCCCTGAAGATCAAGATTCACAAAGCTGGCAACCCAATGCCGAAAGCTTTCTGTGTGCATGTGCAAGCGCTTGCCGCAGTCCAACGCGCAGGTCCTGCGATTTTGTCAATGGGCGCGCCAAGGGTGACAATTCCAGGAAGCAGGCCTCCCACAGAATCTCTGTCTGAGATTCGCGAGAGCAAGCTCTTGCAGCATGTTCAACGGAAGGGGTCCGTTGTTTTCAGTGATGGCAATGTGTCCTGGCGATCACAGGCCAAAGCACGCTCCTTGAAAGCGGCATGGGTGAACCATCAAAACAAGCAGTGGACAAAGCGCCAGGGTCCATCCAGAAGCCGGCCCGCGCAAGTGTCTGCAATTGCAGGCACGCAGGTGGTAGACCGCCTGTGGAAATCTCTCAAGATGTGGGTGCCACGAACTTTCCCCCGGAAAGTTGGCCATGGGGAATTGTCCAGAGAACATGATGATCTGAGAGCTCTGGTCAACCAATTCATGTATCCGAAGACGCCTGAACAGCTTTTGCTGCAGCTCCAGAAGCTGTTTTGAGCCACCCACTCTTTGTTTGTATCTGTTTGATGCAAGATAGCGGCGATGCTTGCAACACCTCTGCTTCAACAACACAAACATCTTCTGGCCTATTTTTGGGTGACTGAATCCTGAATTATTATAGTAGTTTTTCCAACCCCTCGGTCAAGCTCTTTCAAACACCTTCGCGCAGCTTGCGGTCAAAACACAGGCAGGCGCGGAGCGTTGGCGGAGGGCCGGGATCGTGCCGTTGGTTGAAAACACCACGGCCAGCTACAAGCCGCGCACCAAGCAGTTCACCACCACAACCAGACCAAAGCGAAGCGCTGAGCGATTCCTCCCAGTCCCTGGGACCCACCAGAGAAGCGACTCGTCTTGCACCCCGTGAGGTCCCCGAGCAAAAGTGCGCGCCAGGGGCGGCTTGGCCCGGAGGGCGGTTAGCGAACCCCGAGCTTGACACAGTGCCCAAATGTCACCCTGTCAGCGGTTGGCAACTGGGCCAGTTTTTTATGCGATGTTTGGAGGGTTTTGAGACAGGCCACATTTTGAGCAGTTACCAAGCGCTGCAAGGGAAGCAACCCTTTCTGACTTTCACCTAAGCCCCAGTCAAAATCATGGATTTTTTTTTGGGGGGGGGCTATTGGGGGGGGGGGTTATCCCTGGATGAGCCCAGAATAAGCCAAAGCTCCTCTTGCAGGTCCCTGGCAAAAGAATGACCCCAGTCCCTTTGACACATGGGTGTGGCGCAGCATTAAATGACGAGGGCACTTTGCAGGTTTTAGTCTTTGGTTCCATTTACCAAGGTGCCATTTTGGGAGCCACAGCCACATACCCATGTCCACAGAAACCGAACCCCTCGCCCGCCTGCGCCTCCGCGTCCCTTTCCCTCAGCGCCGCAGTCAACTGCCGCCCCAGCAGCGAGGAGACCTCCAGGAAACGGGGACGGAAGCCCGGGCGTGAGGCTGCAGATCTACCTTGTTATTTACACAGATGCTTATTTATATATACATATATAGAGGCATACATCTATATATATATATATATTGGTTACTTTATTCGTGTATTCATATATTGAGAATATATTGATATGCTTATACACTCATCTGTCTACATAGTTATACTAAGTGTTGCATGCACTTATATATATATATATAGAAAATATCGATCTGTCTACTTATCCGTTGATATATTAATCTACATGTTGTTTTTTTATTCCAATATTCATTTGAGCAAAGTACTGTGATTTACACAAGCGAGAGGCCCCTGAAGGACCTGCAAAAGCCACGGGAGGTTTGCTTGTCGGCTTGTTCTTCAAAGAGCGATCCACTGTAGACCTGCTGAGGAAATTCTGATTCTCCCAAGAGTTCAAAGCTTACAAGTTAAACTTGCTTTTAGGAGTTTTAACCTTGGTCAAAGAAACCCCAAAGGGACATAGCGTACCTTGTAGATTACTCACCACAACCGAGCACCAACATACCGCCGACATAGTCTGCTTCTCAAGCGGGCCATCCCATTGACTGTTGGTTCTCATATTCCTGCAGGTTCATCTAGTCCTTATACCCCTCTCAAACCAGTACACCAGCTTCTAACAGGCCAAAATACATGGCTGTGGGTCAAAACCCAGGAAACCCCTGGTGAACATCCAAAGTGGCAATTCGATGTTCAGCCACCCCAAAATGGCTTGCCATAGGCTATGCCCCATGGCCACATGGGCTTTGGGCGCTGCTCAAGCTCTTAGCTCCCGAGGCAAAATTGGACTCTCCAACCACAAACCGCAGAAAAAGCCCTGACCAAACCCCCCTAAGGCTGTCTTAAGGGTTTAATAGGAGAAACGCTGGATGCCAACTCAATATTGCAAGGGAACAAATGAAACCCGCTCATTACTGTGTTTTACCCATGGTTTTGTGGTTAACCCACCAACTAACATGGAACCTGACGTTCGGCGGTCCCGGTTTGGGCCATTTTCCTTTTAAAGGGACCGGGTCCCGAACGTCAAACGGTTCCATGTTTAGTGGGAGCATAACACCTGGGGTGTTGGAGGTTCAAGTCAGAAACTGGTGGTTTCCCTTGAACCCCCAAGGAAGGTATGGGCTTGGCTTGGCTGGGGTTGTGACGGTTTCTGGGGGTTGTCCAAGTCAGAAAATGGAAGCGGTTGTTTCCCTGAAACCCACCACTTAGGGGCTGACTTTGATCATGTCAAAATACAAATCGGCCAGTTTTGTTTTTCACCTATCAGAATTTTGCGTGTCTTTCAGCTCGCGGTTTCCCTTGAACCTACAAGGACTGGGTTGGTGTTCAACCATCCGCAGAGCTCCCCCGGACCGGACCGGAGATCGCCTGCTCCTCGTGCCTGAGCCTTTGCTCCGCCTCCGCGCAGCTGCGGCGCAGCGCGAGGCCCTCCTCCGACACCTGCGGTCTCGATGCCGTTCCACAGGGAAACTCAGCCCCCGTTTGGGGCACCCTCCAAACACGAGGCGAGGACACTCGTGATATTTCTCAAATTGAGTTGTCCACATGACCCTGACTGAACCCTTTGATCAAGGGGATTCAAAGCATGCTGTACTTTTGTGTGCGGGGTGGAACAGCGACATTGCTGCTGGCGGCGCAGGGATGCTAGTATTTGCTGTGAAAAGGTCAATGATGCAGGTGATGCTTGCCATGCGGGATGCTCACATGCTTAAAACGCAGCAAATGCAGGAGATGCAAGCAATGCAGATCGCCCTTTCATTCTGAAGAAAATCAAAGGTAAGTGGATGTGATTCTTAATGGGGGGTGCTTTGGTGGACTATCATTTGGGTGGATGTTCATGTCCACCAACCACTTGTGATGCGGTTCCCGATGGAAAAGGGGAACACAAGGCGACTTCCGGAAAATGAGCCTTACTTTTTGTGTATCCGGTGTATCCCTTAATGAGAGAATCACCAAGCGGAGAGATACTCTTGGTAAATACAAAAAGGGCAGAATAAACACTGATAGCTTGGCCCTATGACCATGAAATCTGTTCAAGTACCCCACCAGCTCATTCAAGTTCGTTTATGCCCTTTCCCGCAAGACCCCCACTCAAATAGGCCTTCTGGCATCTGAACCCCCCCTGGCTTACACCACCTAGCCACCTTGAGAGTGGGTTTTGCCTTCCGAAAACCTCAAGGCGCAAAGCGCCTTAAAACCGAAACCGCCGGAAAAGAAAAGCCTCGCCTGGCTCCGCAGCTCCTTGGCCCTTTGCGCCTCCTGCGCCAAGAGCCCCCGCTGCTGCGCCAGGCCCCGCGCCGCCTCCGAGGGCCGGAGGCCGGCGAAGGAGATCCGAGGGCAAAAGGCGCAGGGGAAAGAGCGCAAGAACTGTTTGAGGCTTAGACCAAACAAAATACATACACACGTGCCTTTTGAGAAAATAACCAATTCATTGTTGCTAGTTGATCTACTTATGCTAAGAACTTGGATAAGTAGTATAATCAGAACACAGTTCCCTATTACTCATGTTTCTGAAAGGGACACAAGTATCGCCATGGAACCTCGGCCAGGATGCGAATTGAGTTCCAAGCACACTATTGGTAAGGTGAAGAGGAGAACTAGAAGGAATGGAGATGCGTTGGACAAAATGGCGCAGGTTTGGTACCCGAACGGGTGGCTTCTCTTTTTTGGGGGGTGCTCCCTTTCGGTTGGTTCTGATGGTATGGCTTGTTTTGTGCTTTTTAGGGAGCACCCTATATCAATTGTATTAAGTCTCAAATTCGCAAAAGTTTAGACCCTTGTGAGATTTGATCATCTTTCTGGATACCTAAAACTGGGCCAGACATAAACTGACTTTCCGCCGCGCCTGGGCGCCCTGCGCGCGCAGCTGCCAGAGCTCGTGGCGCAAGGCGTTGGCGCCCAAGGAGCGCGCGCCCAACTCCTGACGGACACAAAGATCGTTGCAGGTTGGTCAAGCTTCAATTGAGGCTAACTTGTATCCGCAAGGAGCTGCAGGTATGGTTGCCAGTTAGCTTATAGATTGCCCCAAGTGCTTCTCTTCCCACGGACCCTTCGAGGTGCTCGTGTCAACCATGACCGGGCCTGAGGTAGATATGGGAAAAGGAGCCAGAGCCGTTCCAAGGATGATAGAAAAGATCTGAGAACCTGGCTGGGAGGTAGAATTAGGGGCGTCTTGATGTCTCTGCTGGCTAGCGGGTTGTACAACCTACTGTGAATTTGAACAGCAACCCAGCACTTCTTGCAAGGGGACTTTTAGATGGATTTCTAACAAACTAATAACAAAGGAACTACCCAATAGAAGCAGCTAATCAACCCAATGATACCAAATAACCACCATAACCGAAGTGGAAAAGGACCCAGGTCAAATGACACGTGGCCGTGCTTCTCCTGGCAGGCTGCGTGGACCCTTGCCCGGTGCTGCGCTGCATCTTGCTGCGCGTTGAAGGCGGCCTGACGGATGGATTTTGGGGGTCGACGGGCTGGCCCCATTATATCAGCTTCGTTGAAGTCACCCTTGGAGGTTCAAGGGAAACCACCAACCAGTTTCTGACTTTGATGACCCCCGTAAATGCTTGCTTTTGAAAGCCAACATCTGAAAAACACACAAAATCTGATACGTGAAAGATGCAGGCCTCCACAACGCCCGTTCTGCCCAGGCAAAATAGTGACCCACCACCAACCAGTCTCTGACTTTAACCTCCAAAACCACAAGTGGTAGGATAAAGGTGGTTACCCCTCCCACCAACTGCCATGGAACCGATCGACGTTCGGGAGAATGGGTGCCTTTAAAAGGAAAATGGTCCAAACCAGGACCGATCCCCCGAACGTGGAGCGGTTCGAGGTCAATCAGTGGAGGGTATTAAGAAATCATGACCTACCACGAACCAGTTTCTGATTTCCTTAACCCCCAAAACATCCCAAGTGGTAGGTTAAAAACCGGTTGTCAAGAGAATGACCCCAGTCTCTGCCAAACACCTTTCGCCTTTCCGGCCTGGCGCAAGGCCTCGATGTCCCCCTGCAACGTCTGCTGCTCGTAGGCCGCCTGCTTCGTTAGCTGCTTCAGCTGGGCCTCCGCGCGCGCGCGGCGCTTTGCGCGGATTCGTTTCGAGCAGCTCGGTCTACGTCAGTACGTTGGCTGTGGGGTTGGGGAGTGGGGGAGTTGGGAGATTGACATAGTTGCTTGAAGAAGGATATTTAGAGGGCACATGTGCTATGTTTGACGGGGGAGGCTGCAGAGGCGAAATCCTGCACCATGGGTGGCTTGTCATAGCAGTCATAGAGCTTCATCTATCCCAACTGGCGCGAAGCGGATTCTGTCCTTCTGTTCAGGTTGTGTTTGGGGAGTTGGTGTTAGGGGGAGAATGATCACCTACTTAGTGCGTAGGTTGAACCCAGAAGCCATTAAGGGCCGTCTGACACTTGCGCCGTTTGAGGATGTGTCCTACAAGCAGATAAAAACCCTGGTGAAATCCGTCAAGCAATGGTTAGGGGCTTGTGTTGAGTTTGGTTGCTCGGAATTCGGAGGTGAGGGGCCGGATGTTCATGGCTGGCCAAAAGCGTCAAAATTTTACGGGCCCTTGGAATCCCCATTCAAAAGACGGCCGGACCGCGGCCCAACCTGGGCCATACGTTGCACACCCCATCAATGGCTGAATCTACAGGAGGTGGGCGAGGGAGGCTTTCCTTGGCACATGATAAGCACACCCTCTCAAGCGCATCAGAGCTGCACCCATGACAAGCACATGACGCTAACAGAAACGTGTGCTGACTTGGTCCAAAACTGCATGTTGACCTGAGATTCGGCTAGCCTGAGTTAGTTACCGGGATGTCCCACAACCCCAGAAACATGCGTACTTGTCAAACTGCCTGAGAATAGATGCACGAGCTCCGAGGACATGCAACAAAACGCGCGGGTAGCTATATACCCGGCACGTTCAAAAAGCCCATGTGAAAGGTGGTTCTGACTCGCTACTGCCTGGATCCAACGGGGATCAAAGTTTGAGCAGCTAAAACAGATCTTTTCTAGCAAATCACAAGTAGCTTTGAGGGAGTCAACAAAAAGCATTCTATATAATTATCCATATATATATATATATTTGTTCAAAGCAACACGGTGGTAAAACCGAAGATCGCTTGAAGGCTAACGGCTAACGTATTCTTGCGACAAAGCCACATGCCATGCCAGTTCGTGGGAGATAGCCAGCGCCACTGTTTGACAAACGCCGCTCTCAAGATGTGTAGTGACTCATTTTTGGGAGCTTCCAAACTCTGAAAGCAATACAACACACGCTCAAATTTTGTTTCGTGGTGGTGAAGGACCCCCTCATCCCGCAAAACCCACGCACATGGATTTGTTGCTCATTCTTGGCAGGATGCACGGTTGAAAACTTAGCAGTCAACCATGCCCCATGTTTGGCTACATTGCTGGTTGGTGTTGGGGTCTTTCCCCATGTTCCTTGAAAACAAGCATGGTAAATACCCCACTCAAACATTGCGCGATCAAAATATGAGGAATACCCTCCCAAATGGTTGGTGGACATAAGTCCCTCAAATGACTTCCATGAGAGGGTCCAACCCACATATTCATATATCCTGATCGCAAAAGGTAAAGGGGAATAGGGACCCTGCTGAATCTCCCAGCCCGCAGGGAGCTAGCTTAGCATGCTGAGCTTTAGTTTTCTCAAAGGAGTTGGATTGGCTTCCTGACATCCAGGGCCTGACTCCCCCCACCCATATCCCCGATCGAGCGCCAGTTGCCTCATATGCACCAGCGAAGCGCTCAGCGATGAGGTCCCGCATGTCTCCAGACTCTTTGGCCCGCACGTCCATGGCGCCCGGATTTGGCACTTTGTACTGCACGGTGTGGATTTGTTTGCATATAAAGCTAGTAGTATCAGGGCCAAAATAATTAGGATGGAGTTATGGGATACTTAAAACCTACACGTTTGGCATTTTTGTTTGACCCACGGAAACCCAAAAAGTGGGCCCCTCTAAAAGAAGACTCCTTCAAACAGGTGTTTGGTTCCATATCAGGCTTCTGGTTCCATAGCAATCTGGCGAGCAAACCCACAAACAACAAAAAAAAATGTTCAGCTCGTTCCCTGTTCGTTTGTAGGTTGGTGGTTGTTCTGGTGCTGGTGAGGTGGGTGTGGCTGAAGATTACAGAGCTAGGGTTCCGCGGGATTTAGTCTTTGGTGGCACCTACCAAGGGTGCTATTTCGGTACATTGAGCCACAGCCAGGTAGTGCTTGTTTGTCCGGTTGGCTTGTGACTCTACTCAGCTTAAGAGGCCAGTGGCTCAAGGGCTTGGCAGAGGACTGGGAACTCTCCAAATGACCCTCATGTCAATCGTGAGAGCCCCCTCAAACATGGCTCCAAAGTTGTGTGTCTTTTATGGCCTCAAAAAGACACACCCATATGATGTCCAGAGATCCCCAAATAGAATCCGCACCCAGATCCATTCCAACCCCCCCCCCCCCCCAGCCAAAATATCCCAAGAAAACACCCATCGGCCATGGATTCGTCCGGCCCGCTTCTGATTGCTGGGTTGTTGACAGATCACCCTTCGAACCAAAAGCGCTTGCCAGCTTCAAGTCTGAGTTCCCCCAAGTTGATACTATGTGAGCCGTCAAAAATAGAGGTGTGTGTGTGTGTGTCCCAAAAAAAAACGCCCGAGCCCCCAACCCCAACCCCAACCCCACCCCACCAAGAGATGGGGCATACAATCGCAGTTCCTGGACTGCATCTGGGAAATGGCCCTGCGAGCTGCCCTCCCCAAATGAACCATACCGCTGTAATTTCAGAAGGCGGCTGTCTGGTCAATACCAGAAAAACTGCCACTAGGTCCTCCAGTAGAGAGGTTAGAACAAGGGTATCCCTTTTTTCTGTAGTCTATTTCAGTCGGGGAACCCTCCTGCCACTTTGTCTGGTAACCACTTTGTCTGGTAACCACTTCTATCTGCCTTTCTGGTGTACTACATAATGCTCACTTTGGATGAACTTGGAGGGCTGTACTCAAAAGGGGTTCACCTAACGTAGACCGGTTTCTAAACCTAGGCTGAAGCTGCTTTTCCAAGGCTCAACAATTTCCTTCAACTTCTCCCTGCCAAACAAAAGTTTCATTGGACCCAAACCCGCATCGCCAAGGGACACCCTCCCCAAACAAAAAGAACGGCAAGGGTCCATTCCCTTTGCTTTCCCCAAGCTCTTGGAACAGCCGGGTGTGCAATCCAAGCCTCGTGCTTTTTAGAACCTCAAAACACCCTGGAAACACCCCAAGCATCCAGAGGGGTACTTGCTGCATGGCGGATTCACCGATGGGTGAGATGCAGCGAAAAAGATCGTGGGTTGCCATTGCCGCATCAAAAGGAGGCTGACAGGTCTTTCTGCTTGCTCCCCAAATGGATATCCATTGGAGTAATCCAACCCGTCAAGAATCAGAATGGCGGAGATTCCGCACCTATTTCTGGCAAGAGGGTTGTCCCTTACTTCACTTTAATTTGCACATGTAAAACCTAGAAGAGAAACACCTTGCCTGGCCAGGATTTGTTAGGGGTGTCTTTGTTGAGCGGCGGGTGCCCTTTTGGGGTTGGCTTAAAGGGGAACCAGAAGGAAAATCCACCCGGGTTATCTTTCCCCCCTTTTTTGAGACACATGTGTTCCTCTTCAGACGCAAGCGTTGTGCGCAAGTTCGCCCGGAAAAATGACCAAGCCCTGGCTGTAACCAAAAAATCGAGCGCCCAAATGGGAGAAAACCACACAAGACCTAAGCCAAGCTCATGCGTCACAACTCTACAACTTAACTCCGGGATCCTCCAATACTTGAAGTTATACAAGATTTATATATATATATACAGTTTCGGTAGTTTCACAGAAGAAATTATCTGTCTTCAAAAATTTTGTGAGGGGTTGCCGACACTGTCCAAACTCACTCGGAAGTTTGGAATTATTCTGCTCACGCGTATATACTGGAAACCAGGTCAAGCTTTAACTCACGGTGGCAGACCCCCTTGATGTCTCTCTAATGCGCTTATGGTCAAGTCCCCCCCCCCAAACTGCCTTTTTGTTGCAAACCGCCCAAACCACTTCCAAACCTTCCAAACCAACCACCCAAACCACCCAACCCCGCCCAACCCCCACCTTCCCTAGGTCCAATAGAGAGGCTAGAATAAGTTGGTACCCTTTTCTCTGTCGTCATTTTTAGGGGAACCGAATCTCCCAACCCAAAAGGTAACGGTAACACGATCCTGGGGGGCCGAGTTCCCCTCCCCCCAACACCGCCCGCTCAGCCCAGAGCCCGCAGCCCCGCCCCACTCTCAGCGCCCCGCGCATTCGCCGCAGCAGCTGCAGCGCCCGCGGCCACTGAGAGCCCGCGCCTCGGAGCGGATTCGAACGCCTCCGAGGGGGGTCTCCTTGGAGAGGTCCTCCGGTTGGTGGGTGTTCAGGGGGAAGCCAAACGGAAAAAAAAACGCCGTCTCCCTTTTTTTAAAACTTTGTGGTTGCTTACTGTTTGTTATTCTTGTTTTGGTACTATTATTATTCTTGTTTCCGGGGGGGGATTCCGGAAAAGAAAAAAAAAAGGAGAGACATGCAGCTAGGTGATCCCTTCTTTGGTTGGGGGCCGTGCCCAAAGCAATTGGAGGGGGGGGCAGGGGTCTCTATTGCTCCAAGATGCCCCAAAACGGTGTGCCACCTGTCAGGTTTCTTGCGGATTCCTCCCAGGCAACCCGAAACTGAGTGATCTCCTATGACCTGAGGCCTCGGACCCCGCAAGGCGCACACGTTGGCCTACCTGAAACCCGCCCAACCACTTTTTTCCCCAAAGTTCGGGTCGACAAAATTTTCCAGGAGACAGGTCCGGCAGAGCTCGGAAGGCAGAAGCTTCGAAGTCCAAAGTTTCAACTCCTTTCCCCTTGTCTCCGTCGACATTTCTCTTCATTCTGCATCGGTTCTCGTCTCTCTTCCCTGTCTCTCTTCTCCTCTGTTCTCTGTTCCATTGTCTCTTTCTGAGTTTCTTCTCTTTCGCGTCTTCTTGTTCTTCTTTCGCTTCTTGAATTCTCTCTCTCACTCTCTCTCCTCTCTCTCTCCTCTCTCTCTCTCTCTCTCTCTCTCTCTCTCTCTCTCTCTCTCTACATCCCACGAAAGTGGGAAACAAAAGTGAAAAACACAAAATAGAAAAACGCCGAGTTGTTCGAGGTTGACCGCAGGTTTTGCGAACGAAGAGGAAACAACTATTCAAGAGGCGTTTCTTAGAGAGAGCTAACCTCAAGTTGCACGGACGTCTCCAGCTGACTTCCCGAGGCAGAAGCTGAAAATCGGTCTTTTGGAGAAACGAGTTGGGCCCCATCCTGCCACAACTCCCCGATTTAGGCGATCGGCCACAGTGGCCAGTAACCCGCGTGGCAAATAACCAGAAAGCAGCTGACCCTGTTTCTTGACATAGTTTTAGGGTTCATGACGTATCCCACTAGAATTAACTTTTAGCAAGGATCAACGGACTAAGTCGAGATAAGTGAAGAGGGCTGTGTTGGTTGACCGAGTCAATCTGTCTGCAATTTGGTTGTTTGTTTGGAAATGGTGTGGGTTAGTCTTTTAGGGCTGGAGATAGACAGGTGTGCTTCTGTGTGCTCATTTTGTGGCGGGTGTCTATGGTGTGCCTCACAACCTCAGTTGCCCAAAGGACGGACCCGCAAAGAAAAGGTGATCACCTGTTGGTGAGCCATGACTCAAACAATTGGAACAAATCACCGGAAGCCAAAAAAAAGAGGTCAGCTGCAGTCGATTCGCTCTAATCGTGCGGGGTAACCCCTAGGGAAGGGACAAAACAAACAAAAAAACGCTTGGCCCAAAGCGCCGCAGGCCACGATTGCAGCGGTGCTGGCGTGCAGATTCTGCTTCAGCCCTGCGGCCAAAGCAAGAAATGGGCGCAAAGCATCCGCGAAAACGCGCATGGGTTGTATAGGTTTTGAGGGTACCCCGTTCTAAGGTTGAAAGGAATACGAAAGGAAACCAACCATTTGCGGGCCCACACACACGTCTCAAAATAGGGACACTTAAAAATGGTGGTTGTCCTCTTGGCTTCCCTTTTAGCCCCTACAGTAAATAGGGCACCCTCCAAAAGTTTGGAAAACCAGGACAAAGCAAAAACAAAGCAAGAAAGTGAAAAAAAGCAAGGGAAAAGAAACAAAAACAAAATTCAGACGGGTCTTCTAAATGGTAAGCCCGCTTTGCGGAGAGGGCTCCCACGGGAATGGGAACATCCATATTCCATCAGTTCCTCTAATCATCGAATCTACAGAATGATTCGGCTTTGCCCCGGATTCCGGGCTCCGGGGTTAATCTTCCCTTTCCCCAGTTTTCAGGAAGTGTCAAATGCCTCCAATTTCAGATACCAACTTTTAGGAGGGAACCACCTCAACAGTGGTTGGTGGTTTCCTGAATCCCCACCAATTCTTGATGGCCACCAAGTGGTCCCCAATCAAAAATTCACGCCCAAATATTTTCGGCCGTAATTGGCAGACCCATGGAGGGAAGCACCCCATGTTCAACCCATCTGTATGGCATGCCCTACACTGCCGGTTGGGAACAAGGAAAGCCACATATACCTTGCAGCAGTTGGTTGGGGGGTTGGGGGGTTTTGCAGGTGGTGGTTGGCTCCCTTGTTTTACTGTTGGACCGTAGCTTTTGGTTGTCATGTCCTCCTCAAGCTTACAAGAAGGAAGCACTCATATTGTCAATTGCGCATGTGAGCTCTCAAATGGACCATAGACCACGTAATAGAGATTTTGGCCGAACTCATGTGAGTCATTATCAAAACCTGTTTTACAAAGGTCTCCCCATATCCATGTATATGAA